CCCCCCCCCCCCAACCAAAAAAAAGTACATGATTTCCTTTTCTTAAAAGACCGGAATAAGTAGGTCTTGACATTTGCAGAAACTGAAAAGAGTTTTTCTATGAGTTTGTTTGGTGATCAAGAATGATAGTCAATGAATAATAACTAATGAGGTTCAAGTCAGAAAAAGAAGTGAAACAGTAAAAAAATTAATATGAAAAAATAATAAACCTGTTCCATTACTCCAAATTTATAATGCATATGGAAATGCATGCGTAAACATGAAACACATTCTCACAAAAATTTGCTGAATGAATAGAGGGAACTGGATCGTGAAAAACATCTCAGCATACCTCCTTAAGATATCCTCCCCTACTAAAGGCTTTAACAATAGCTCTACAACATCTCTTGTCAATAGCCACTGCTTGTTCCTCCATGATTCTCCAAGTTCCCATGACAAACTAGTTAAAACAGAAAGTTCTAAGAACATAACACATAAAATACAAATCTTTGTGCAAGAAGTACATTCATGAAAGAAGATTGTTTACATCAATAGACTTTAAAACAAGAGAACAAAAAACCTGAAAAAAGATGCAAAAACACTGTTAGGAAAAGAGGAGATATTTCAACCCCCTGCCTCTACGGCTAGAAGAAAAAAAAAATTAAATTGATTTACATCAAAGTTTCCTGCATCCTCAGAAGATAACATGTTCATGTAGCAGTCACCCAGTGGGCACTGACGGCTACAGTAAAACATGCTTCACTTAGCTCTGGCTAGTACAAGCATGATCTAACATCAAGAGCAAATATGCACAATGTAAGTTCACAATGTCTTTTAAACACAGTATTATCTATAGTTTTAACCATCCATAGCTACTTAAAGATGTGACGATGATCAACTCTATAAGATGATCATCTCTATAAACATAACTAACAGCTCCTTTAAATAGAAAGATAACAACAATCTACAAGTCGCTATTGTAGAAACCCTCACACAATACAAGATGCAACCACAAACTAACTTATGAAGTAGATACGCTAATTTCGGATGTAACACCAAATGAAAGAGCACCTAAGTTGCATGGAAATGGGTACGAGTATTGCTACTTGCTACGGGTGCGGGACACGATATATATATATATATATATATATATATACATATATATTTTTCATGAGATCATTATTGTTGTCAATTCATGTATTACTAGATTTGAACTTCCTATAACATTTTTAAGTTTCTTTCCTTTTGTTGATTATTATGAAATGAAAACTACTCAATTTTGAGCTAGACACCGAAACGACCCTTTACAATCATGGTTTTGAATTTAGGTATGGGCTAAAATAAACCCTATGCATGTTTAACGAGTTTTGAGAAATTGATGTGAACTGCAGGATATACGTCTAAAAAGTGTTTGACAAGTGTTTTAAATTAAAATATATATCATATAATTGAGTACATGTTTGCATAAATGTATGCATATATCCAAAGAGTGTCCATGAAGTTTGGGTAGGGGGACGTGTCGGGCAAGGTTATAGAAAGCGCTATACGACCTAGGCGCTGGAGCTGACGCCTATAAGCTATAGCTAAGGCGGCTAGGTGGGAGCCTAGGCAGGACCTAGACGGTTTTTATTTTTTATTTTTAATTATAATAGTTGATAATAAATGTCAATTTAATCTAATACTATTCTAAAAGTGTGAAGGATGTTAAAACATTTCTTTCAAAAATACCCTCAATATGTATATATAGTGTTAAAGATGCCATTTATATTGTTAAGGGCATCCATGTAATATTGTGACTCTCCATGATAAACTGCATACATTAACCTACATACATATACATAGCCAATGAAGTAAATAGTATAATAAATGCAATACATACATTATTATAATCATAAATTTTGATAATGAAGAGTTTTCTTCTAGAGGTCATGCATATGACAAACTAATACTATACGTTTCAATCTGCATACAAAGTGTCAACTTAAAATATCATTAGTGCATACATTCATGCATACTTGAAATGAGAGTTACATTTTCAATTGTAGTCTTTATTTAAGTGGCAATTACAACATTTGACAGTTACGGAATCCAAAGAGGTAGCCTGCTTTTCTTTATTTATCATAATAGCCCTTACTTGCAACCTATATAAATTCTCTCATTTGATGATTTAGATTTACACTCACCTCTTACAACCCTAACAGCATCTTTTACTCACCCCATGGCTTTACTATGATATTATTTGGATGATACAAGCTCGCCAGTGAAAACGTTATCCCTTCAAAAGAGATAACGACAGGGAGGGTGAAGATGATTAAAGTTATGTTGAGGAAGCACTGGGCTTTACTCGGATTATACTTTATATTGATGTGATTGTTAGGTTGACGGCTATACGCGGATTGAGGATACAATTGATACAAGGAATCAGACGGTGGAGAATTCGGATTGAGACTAAAGTTTGAGGTCTAATTTGGGGGGTTTTAATGAAATTTTTCTATTTCTATAATTATTACTATGTACTTTATTGTGATTTGAGAGAAATAGTGTATTATCCATGAACTTAGTATATATATATTTTTATTTAAGAATAGTTATCACTTATCACTTAATAATAAGCACAGTTAACATGAATTTTGTTCATGGATCGAGCTCTATATTATTATATGTTGCTTATTATGTGCTTATAAATGCTCTTGCCATACTTCTTTTTGTTCTTCCTATTTCTGTCATAAATACATATTACTTTTTTGTCAATTAGAATTATGATTTTTGTTTATTGAGAATAGAGACTTATTTTGTTTTGTTTCTTTGTTTAGGTGGTAGCACTACTGGATCATGTTCCTTTTAACTAATGACTAAGAGAATGTTTGAGAACTTTTGACCCAATTGGATTATAATTTAGAGTGGATTATAATCTAATATTTTATCAAAATGATAATAAAAAAAGACAGAGAGTTGGTAGTGAGTTATTAAATGTTTAGCTCCTCAACTTATCCATTTTACTCCTGTGTTCAAGTAACTGCACAAGCTACATGTACTTTATAATCAAGAGTCTCTTGACATAAGCATTTTAAATCAATTAGTGGAAGATATATTTCATAGTCTCCATGGGACTCAGATGATCCAAAATTGTTGAGAATGCTGATTTCAAAAACTTATTGAAGTTAAATGTGGCTTTTCTAAGTGTTGGAGTCAAGAATGATAGAAATATCAGCGAAGGATATACATAACTAGCAGATGCAATGAACATATCAGTTCTTTTAGTTGTGTACAACATTGTTTGCTTCTATTTTGCATAGCTTCATCTAAGGTGCAGAATTATGTAGTATCTAAGACTAATACCTTTTTATGTCATGAAGGGACTGGCTAGAATTTTTAGCTTGTTCTTAATCTCATATAGTCCTTAGAGAATTTCATAATGCTTACAATTGCATTGAAGATATTTTTAAGGCAATAGCTCATTCCATTTTTATAATTCATATTAGCTTGTAATGAAACATTAGATTACTTAATTGCCGAATGAAAGTAATTATGTGTGTGTGTTTTGTACCTGTTAGAATTTTCTACATGTTTCTACACTTGATATAAATTATCTTACCACTCTTTACAAGTCAAATCTGACCTTAGACCTCTGGATCCAAGAAACAAATTATGATATACCTATATGTATAATACGATCTTATTTTATAGATTATTATTTGCATAAACAATCGTTAACATTTAATATATGTAACATGATAGATAAATATTCACTTTTTAAAATATTATCCATCAGTAAACAACACTGAATTATCAGTCTTCATAATCTAAGTAACTATTTTCATTGTTTTATATAAATTAACATATTACGAAACATTCCACTTGATATTTTAAGCCAGAGGAGAACAATCAAATCACGTTTTCATTAACAACCTGAAGATTTAACAGAAGCAACGAACAATCAAAACTATATCTATATATGTAAGCACTGAAACTTTTTATCCTGATTTTCTTAAAGTTTTTTTTGAAAGAATTTCTTTTCTTTAAGCTTTAATTTTTAAACTTTATCCTGCTTTTATTTAATCTTTAACTTTTTAGTCATTTTCCCTGCTTTTTTTTAATCTTTATTCTTTTTCTGAGTTAATTTCTAAATTTCTTGTCCATGAAACAAATTCAGAATATAAAATAATTTCGTACACGTGTAACGCATGTCCACTATACTATAATGCTATAAAACTGTGTAGAACATTAAGAAATTTATAATATTAATAATGATATCTAAAATATTTATAATATTATTAATATTTATAATATTTAGTGAAGGAAAAGAAAACATATTAACCACTGTTTTGTATTAATATTTATCTTAATTATGTTCTAATATATTACAGTAGAACAATATTAATTATATATAATTATAATATATAGTATATATATATATATATAATATATATATATATTATATATATATATATATATATATATATATAATAATTTATAATATTAATAACATTTATAGTAAGATTTTTACATATGAAAACATCAACAACTTTTATCCAAATTGCAATTTAACACCTTTATTGTTTTTTTTATGTAAACCACTTTAGTTTGCTTACATATTCTCAATGTCACACATTTTAGTGTTTTTTTAAAATATAAAATTACTATAATTCTCCTCTGTCTAACCTAATAGAAAAAAGGAGAGGAGGAGGAGGAGGAGAGGAAGAGGAGAGGTGGAGGGAAGTTGATTGGACCGATGGCTTGAGAGAAGGAAGGAGGTTGGCGGGGAGAGTGGAGAGTGAGGAGCAGAGAAGAAGAAAGAGGGTAAGGCAAGAGGAGGAGGGAGGAAAGGTGAGAATAGAAAGAGGTGGAGAGGGGAAAGGAGGTGAAGGGAGAGGAGAGGAAGAAAGGGGTTAGGGTTAGTAAAACCTAGAAATGGAGGAGATGGTGGAGAAGGTGAGGAAGAAGAGAAGGAATGAATGAAGTAGGTAGGGGAGGGGAGGGGGGGGGCATGGGAGGGGGAGAAAGGAAGGAAGGAAGATGGGGAGAGAAGCGGGGGTAAAATGAGTATTTTAAAAAAAATTGGGCTGAATAGTGGCGAAGGTGTGACATTGAGATTCTGAGAACATGCAAGTAAACTATAGTTGTTTACATTAAAAAATTAAATAAACATGGTAAGTTACAATTTGGGCAAAAGGTAAGATGGTTTTCATGTAAAAATTTCTTTATAGTTTTAAGAAAAGGAAAGGAACTTAATGCACTGCCAAGGTCAATCTTTAAAAAGCCAATGGAAGAAGATAAATAAAGGTATAGCCATGTTTTTTTAACCTCTCAATTAAATGCTCATGAATCATCAATTCAATCCAAACTATTAATCTCTTTGTTTACCAACTACTCAATATACGTTATTCTCTACTACCAGTTCATGCTTAGGATGTGTATGCGGTGTTCTATTGCCACACAACAAGCAAGACGAAAGGTTAT